AATAGATGGGGTAAGAGAGTGCGAGAGCAAGAGACAGAGCGAGAGAGTGAAGCAAACCAAAACAATTGAGTAGAGGGGGTGGCTTGTGGAGGAGGAGCAGCAGCGGCAGCAGGAGCTTTAGGAGGAGGCGGAGGCGGAGATCAACATAAAAAAGGAGAAGAGAGGAGGGCCCAACTCCCCGCTCTCCTACTTTATCCTCTCCCTGCTGCCTTGTTCTCTCCCCCCCGCCCTCCCTCCCCCTTGTTCCCTCCCTCGGCCGAGTCCTCCGTCCCGAGCGCGAACCGGCCGCTGCGCATCGTGCGGCGGATGCTGAAGACGCTCCAGGGCATCCCCAACAGGGGCGACTATCCCGGAAGCGTCCGGCGTCACTCCGCCAAGTCCCCGGGCCCCGCTCGCTCGGAGGCCGACGCGGCCAGGAGTCTTGCGCAGCGTGCCGCGCCGCCCTCCGCTTCCTCGTGCCCCTGTGGATAGCGCCTCCCCGTCGCACCTCCGGGCGTGTCCGTCGGGCCCGCCGGGCGTGTCGCCCGAGACTTCCTCGCCGTGCGTGATCCTGCAGCCTGACACCTGAAACAGCTGCACGCATGGAGGGCGGGTGGAGGACGGGTGGTTTTCAAAACGTGGTCCTCGCTTGAGCGCGGCGCGCGCGGCTTTCAGCACCCCCAAGGGGGGGCCGCCAGGGGGTATTGCACTCTTCCGTGAGCGCCAAGATGACGGGGATGCCTCGAGCGGTGTGCCTGTTTCCTGCCGCAACATCCTCCGCTTTCGGAGCAGATTTGGAGGATATCTCCAGCGAGGCGCTCATGTTCGCCCCCCAATGGGGCCAGAATGTGAAGATGTCTCGATCGGTTTGCCTGTTTTGGTGGCCAGACTCGTGGGCACGGATCCTCCCCAGGATGCCACAGGAGGCTCCAGGAGGCCCCAGGAGGCAACAGGAGGTCCAGGAGGCATCAGGAGGCCACAGAAAGACTCAAGAGGACACAGGATGCCCAAAGAGGCGCCAGGAGGCCCCAGGAAGCTCCAGAAGGCCTCAGGAGGCTCCAGGAGGCTGCAGGAGGCCACAGGAGGCCACAGGAGGCCCCAGGAGGCAACAGAAAGCGCCAGGAGGCACAAGGAGGCCCCGGAAGGCGCCAGGAGGCCCCAAGAGGCCCCAGGAGCAGGAGGCTTCAGAAGGCCACAGGAGTGGCTCCAATCCCATGTGTTGCACGTATGCTCCTATAGATTGTGCCTCCCTTGGAGCACGAGTCCTTGGTGTTTTAGGTATGTTTCTAAAGCTTGCCCTTCTCTTGTGCACCGAATCCTGAGTGTTTTACGTGTACTCCTATAGATTGGGCCTCCCCATCCCCTGGGGCCCCAGTCTTTAGTGTTTTACGTGTGTTCCTATAGGTGTGTTGTATGCATGTCTGTTTGTCTGTCTGTCTGTCTGTCTGTCTGTCTGTCTGTCTGTCTGCATGCATGCATGCATGCATGCATACATGCATGTATGTATGTATGCAGGTATGTGTATATATGTATATATTTATATATATATATGTATATATGTATATATATATATATATGTGTGTGTGTGTGTATGTATAGTGCTCCTCTCCTGCGGCTCCAATCCGCAGTGTTTTATCTACGTCTGTTCCTATAGCCTCTCCTCGGGCACGAATCCTCCCCAGGAGGCCCCAGGAGGCTCCAGGAGGCCCCACAAGGCCCCAGGAGGGGAGGCCGCAGGAAGCCCCAAGAGGCCAGCGCAGGCCTACTAGACTGCCGATTATCGGGGGAGCGTAAGACCCGGGTTTGCCAGGACTCGGGTTCGCCATCGTTTTTTGACGACCGCGCCTCGGATTTTGACGAGGAGGAGTTTCGTGGGATGTCTGCAGCGGGAGGCCTCGTCAAAATGCAGGCTCGGCCTCGTCATTTTTTTGACGACCTCGTCGGGGATTTCCGAGTCCCCTGTACCCAGGTCTTACGTCCCCCTGAGATTAGTGCGGATTCGATTTCTCTCGACTCGGCTGCCGCTTTCCTCCGATCCGATCCATTTCGATCGCCGATCCGACTTGTCGATTCGATTCTGGGCTCTCCTGCGGGATAGATCAAGTGCTGAGTACGGCAGATTCGAGCAGCGTTGACGCGGCGAAGACCCCATCGCAAGCAGGTTCAACGCCGACAGCGGCCCGGAATCGGCTAGCATCGAACGACCGACGCGGTCGGAAACCTGCGATCGTTGGAGGTTCAGCGACCCCCCTTTGTGCCGTCTCTGCACGATCCTGCCGCACTCCTCTGGGCCGAAGTGCCCTCCCATCGGCCGCGCGCTGCCTACAGTTAGCCCGCATCGTAAGGATGAGCGAGTTTCCAAGGCCTCCCTTGCATCCTTGCCCCTTCGGGCTATCCCTAGCGATTTTCGCTGGCCCACCGCGTTCGTAAAACGTCAATGCTGCCCTCCAAGCCCTTTGCATCCTTACCGCGCATCTTCAGTACACGGGTTGGCTGTATCGGGCCGTCCAGAAGGCGGCAGCGGCTTAGGACCAGGGAAGGCCTCGAGGATCTCGGATCGAGGTCTCTGGACGTGCTTTCTGAGGTTAGTGCTGCCCGTTCGGGGTTCGGCAGGGCCTCGGGATCGGAAGTCTCCCGAGGCATCATCCGGAGACAGCTTCCTAGGCATCATTCTGAACCGCCTCCTCCCTCCTCTCTACTCCCTCCTCCTCCCTCCTCCTCCCTCCTCTCTCCTCCTCCTTCTTACTCCTCTTGCTCTTCCTCCTCCTCCTCCTCCTCCTCCCTCCTCCTCCTCCTCCTCCTTCTCCTCCCTCCTCCTCCTCCTCCCTCCTCCTCCTCCTCCTCCTCCTCCTCCTCCTCCTCCTCCTCCTCCTCCTCCTCCCTCCTCCTCCTCTTCCTCCTCGTCCTCCTCCTCCTCCTCCTCCTCCTCTGCTCCTCCTCCTCCTCCTCCTCCTTCTCCTCCTCCTCCTCCTCCTTCTCCTCCTCCGTTCCTTTCCTTATAAAAAAGCCCTCCCTGCCTCAACCCGAGGCCAGTTTTTCGGGTGGGCCAGACGTTTCGCTTAAGATGTCCTCACTATTTAAGACCCTGGAGCTTGAACATTTCCATCAGCTTCACAGATGGCGGGCAGGTCGTTTTCTAATTGTGGCTCTCGTTTTAGCGCCGCGCACTTTCGTCTTTTTTGAATGTTGCAAGAGCTTCACGGATCGAGGGCGAATGGTTTTCAAACTGTGGCTCTAGCTTTGGCGCCGCGCACATTCGTCTTCAAAAAGTTGCAAGAGCTTCACGGGTTGAGGGCGGTTCTTTTCAACATGTGATTCTCGCCTCAGCGCCGCGCACATCCGTTTTAAGAATGTACAAGAGTGTCACGATTGAGAGCGGGTGGTTTTCAAAATGTGGTTCTCGCTTTGGCGCCGCGCACGTTCGTTTTACACATGTGCAAGAGCTTCACGGATTGAGGGCGGCTCCTTTTCAAAATGTGGCTATCGCCTCAGCGCCGCGCACATTAGTTTTACAATCTGCAAGAGTTCCATGGAGTCGGGTATCAGAAATGGCGTTTCGGAAAGATTCAGGACTATGAGGGTGCAACAAAGGCGTTCATTTGCGGTGTTGAAGTCCCAAGAATGGCTCTCTGGCACGATTCAAGATCGTCAAGACGCAACAGTCAGGTTGATCCGTGGCGTTGGAATCCCGAGAGCAATGTTCTGGCATGCTTCAGGGTCTTCCAGCGGTTGTCTTCTGACGAGGCAGTTCCCTCAGTGGAAATGAACCGTTGCAGGGGCCTATGAAGTGACTCTTGGGTTTACGCTGGTCCTCCTCCTCCTCCTCCTCCTCCTCCTCCTCCTCCTCCTCCTCCCTCTCCTGGGGTCTTTTTGGGATGGCGGCCAGAGAGCACCCGTGAGCCTCAGCCACGGTCTTTGAGATTTGGACCTGGCGGAGGCTCGGGTGACCCTCGGAGTGCTCGTGCGGGCACCTGCTCAGCAGCAGCTGGGAGGAAAGCGCCGCTGGTCGCTCTCGAGGAAGTCCTGCCGAGGGGAAGGGGAGAGGGACTTGCATCGCTCGGAGGTGTGCAGTCTTTTCTCCGCGAGGACCATCGAGGAGCATCCTGGACCATGGAGCAACAAAAGCACGCGCGAGAACGAACAAATGGTATTGGGAAGGACGCCCGAGCGATGGCAAGGGGAGGGCCGAGGAGCGGGAGCAGTGTGCAGCTCGTGGGCCGCGGTGCGCCCACCCCCCACCCCCGCCCTCGAGCGAGCGAGCGTGCCAGGATAATCTTCTCGAGGGAGTCAGCCGGCCAGCTCGTCCTCGCTTGCTCCCCCAACTCATGTTGAAGTCCAGCCTTCCCGTTGGCGCCGCGGCGCCGCCGCCTAGCCCCTCGTAGGGACGCCCCGTGGGACGAGTAGGCGCCGTGTCCGTGCGTCCGTTTTGATGGGCCTGTTTTCCACCACCACCACCATGAGTTGGAGGGGGAGGGGGTCCTCCTCCTCCTCGTCCTCCTCCTCCTCTTCGTCCTCCTCCTCCTCCTTCTTTCCCCCTTCCAACTTGTGGTGGTGGTGGTGGAAAACAGGCCCATCACGTGCGTCTCACCCCCGCCCTCTGTGGGTGGCCTCCCGAGCGCCGCTGGCGGACTTCACGAACCGAGAGCGGGTCTGGCTCTCGAGGGCGAGGAAGCTGCGTGGGCACAAACTTTCGGAGCTCCGCGCGGAGTTCTCGGATCTGCGCCGGACCCCTCCTGGCCGCCCACCAAACCACCTCAACACCCGAAGGCCCCGATGTGTCATCCATCTCCAGGGTTGGGGGGGGGGGGTCGGGCAACGCAGGAGAAACACATGAAGCCCGTACCCCCCAACCCGAAATTCGGGTCTTCGGGTTGGGTTGGGGTGTTCTGGTAGATAGTCACCTCTGGCGGCGCCTCCGGCGCCGCCCCGGCGCGCTCCGCGCGCCAGGGAGGAGGGGTGCGGCGCGGAAACCCGCGCGGATTTCCCAAAGTCTATGTTTATGCAAGTTGTTCTTGTTTCCAGGCTTCTCAGCATGGTCAACAGCCTCTCCCACACGGTCGGCAGGTGCGCCACGTTCTCCCTTGCCTGGCTTTTCTTCCCCTGGCCATGCGCACGCGTTCTCTCTCTCTCTCTCTCTCGGCCATCCCCTGCCTTTTCCCTCAACCCGCATGCCCCTTAGCCCTCCTCTCCCTCCTCTTCATCCTCCTGCTGCTGATCTAATTACCTTCGCCCTCCAGCCCCTCCCTCCCCTCCCCTTATCCCTCTCGCCCGTTTCCTTCACTATCCTAGATCTTCAGAGAACCCCATAGAGCACCCTTCAATCTTCCTGGAACCCCTCACGCTTTGACTGCCCGACGAGCGCGCTCTCCCTCAAGCCCGCCACCAACAACATCGTCCGAATTATCCTCTACTCCCTTAACACGGGACCGATGAAACAACCTTACATGTGTTCATCCTCCCTTCTCGTTCTATTCCTCTGCCAGCCATGCTCCGCATACTCCTGTTCCTGAATCCCGAGATTACTCCTCGTCCCCTCACTAAAATCAAGATACCACCAGAGTCTCAATCCCCTCCCCCCTTTGCCTCCGTCTCCTCCACCTCATGAAATTCATGTTCGTCCTCCTCCTCTTCCTCCTCTTCCACCTCAGGTCGAATGCCCTTTCTGGGTCAGAGCCGTTGCCTGTTAGGATGCGAGGCCGACCTCGACCGATGGCCTCGCTCATTGGTCTGCCCACGTCTCCTCCACCTCCTCCCCCGCTCGAGGCTCTTCCTCGCCTCTTGCCCTCTGGCCCGTCTCGGCCTCGGCCTCGACTGTGCTTGTCATCCGCAGGTCACCTGGGAGACCACTCATCGCCTAGCCTTGCCAGGTTTTTTTCGACCGCCAGATCATAGCAGAGCACGAGGCCTCGCCCTCCCGCTGTGGCGACCTTGAAGCCCACCTGAGGCCCTTGCGTGCCACGCAGCTGGCCATCAGTGCTGGCCGGTAGAGTCACGACGACACCACTTGTTACGTGCGCTCCTCCTCCTCCTCCCTCCTCTTCCCCTTACTCGCTCTCTCCTCTTTCTCATCTGTCTTGCCATTGTCCCTCACCGCTCCCTCTCCCCATTCTCTTTCTGCGTAGGCGACGGGGGACCAGGAAGGAGGACGATGAGGAAGGAGGAAGGGAGGAGGCAGGACGAGTAGGAGGAGGACTAAGAAGATGGGGAGGAAGTTGAGGATTAGGAACAGGTCTCGCTCTCTCTCTCTCTCACTCTGTCTCTCTCTCTCTCTCTCTCTCTCTCTTTCCCCCCTCTCATTAACCCTCTGTCTTCCCGTCTGCTCCCTCATCCATCCCCCTCTCCTCCTTCTCCACCTCTTCTGCATGGCCCCCACTTGCTTCTCCTCTTCCCCCCCCCATCCTCATTCCACACCCCGCTCCCTCCGCTCCCCCTCCCTCCTCCGTCGCTCCCTCCCTTCGCCCTCCCCTCTGCATCCGTCCCACTTCCTCTCTCGTCCGTCCTCCCGTGGGTGCGAGCGCCCGGTCCAGACGATGGTGCCGCTCCGTCCTCATCCATCCTCCGCCTTCGTCCATATTCATCTATCCTCGAATCGGGCGTGTCCCCCTACAGGAAGAAAACTCAAACATAGGCAAACAATAGTCTGGGGACGATTTTTCTAGTATACTTGAGTTCTATATTTTGGTTATTTTTTATGACTACTCATCTTGATCTTCCAAAATCCGCCTGTGGGGGACATGCCCGACCTCAATCTGCCCTCATGCGCCGATCTCCCATCTCAGCCATCGTCCATCCACGTCCATCCTGCTCCTGCCCTCGGCAGGTGCCGCTCCGTCCTCGTCCATCCTCCGTCTTCGTCCATCCTCAGTCTTCGTCCATCCGTGCCACTGCTCGGCGAGGACGGCTTTGAGCAGAAGAAAGCTCGAGCAGCCTGGTGCGAGATGTGCCCCGTCCCCCCTCCACCTGTTTCTTTCGGCTGTGCGTGCCTGGCGGCGCGGAGGCGCCCTACCCAGGGCGCGATGTGTCGCCGTCCAGGATACCCTCAGGGCGCTGGGGCTCGAGTCCTCCAGTGAGGCCCCAATGGAGCCTCCTGACACCATCGTCTACGTGGGTCATGTGGTGCAGGCGTCTGGCCGCTACCTTATTTGCCGCCGCTGTGCGGCGCACTGCCTTGTGGAAGCACCGTGCTGGCGGAAGCTCCTCGCCCCGTGTTCTGGTGCTGCGTCTTCGGGCCAGGATTGGTTCAGGGACGAGGTGCTGGCTGGACGAGAGCCGCGCCCACCGCCCGCTCCAGCGTAGGGCCGTCGCCTGGCGTCGGCACTGCGCAGGAATAGGCGTTGGGTGCGGCTCTGCGCGCCCGTGCGCGCTTTCAGTGGGTGTGGGACCCGCCCGCACCCGTGAGGCACGGCCTCTTTTCTGTCCCTTCGGCTAGCTTCCGCCCGCGGATGCTAGACCTTGGTTGCCCCTTGCCCCGTCCATCCTCCGTCTTCGTCCATCCTCCGTCTTCGTCCATCCCCATCTATCTTCATCTGCCGATCTCCCATCTCAGCCGTCGTCCACCCTCGCCCCTCCTGCCCCTCCCCCCCCGGCAAGGTGCGAGCGCCTGGTGCAGACGCCCGTGCCGCTTTCATACGCGCGCCGGCCCCAGCGGGCCTGCTCTCCAGCGCTCGGCGCGCGCGCGCCTTTTCCTGGCCATCCCCCTGCCCAGGGCTCGCTTCGGTGTCCCCGATTCGATTCGACTCGATTTCGATGGATTCCGATTCCGATTCGATTCGACCTGGGATCTCGATTCGGGTTCCGATGTCTCACTGGACGCGTACAGGCCTGCCGCTTTCCGCCGATTCGACTTTTTCCGACTCGGTTGCCGATTTCCGCCCATCCGATTCATGTCTATCGCCGATCCGATTTATCGATTCGATGTTGGGCTTTCCTGCCTGCCCCAGCAACGAGCTCAGTCGCAGGTGGAGGCACTGATGGTCAAGTCCTTTCACATCGGTCGAAGATAAGCTTGCACTGTTAGACATCAATGTGGGACGGTCCGCGCGGGATTTCTCGGATTTTCGTTGGACCCCCCTGGCGGCGCCTCCGGCGCAGCCGCGGCGCGCTCCGCGCGGCAGGGACGGGGGGCCCAGCGCAGACGCAAGAAATCCACGCGGACCGTCGAAAATGTGTGTTTATGCCCTTTGTCTTCCTCTACTCGGGGCCAGCTGGGGGGCTAAGGCGGAGCAGGACTGGTTGCAGCCATCAGATCGGGGGAGAGGCGCCATCGTACACAGGTTTCGTTCCACGTCCTGTCGAGGTCGCCTTCTCCAGATGAGCCTGGAAAGCCGATGTCGCCCCCCTTCCCCTCCTGGCTGATTTTGCTGGTGCCTGTCCAGAGCAGACCCCCCAGCCGCCTTCAACCCTCACTCCCATCTTCCTCCCCTCCTCTTCCGTCCCACTTCTCTCCTCCATCAGGTTCAGCATCACAGGTGGAGAAGCTCAGGGGAGGATGCATCGACCCCCAATCGCCGATAGTTGCCCGATAGTCCAACCCGCCTAGGACCCTGTGGATCCCCTATCGGGGATGATCTCCCCCCTGAGCCTGTCCACCCCTATCGTTCCACCTCGGCTCCCATCCACCTCTTCTCTTCTACTCTATCACACTTCCCTTTCCCCAGCAGCCTGCGCGAGAGCATGCGTCAGGAAACGATGCGCTCGTCGGAGTCCTTGCAGGAAGGATCGAGACTTTGTGACAGGCGTCAGGTCAGGGGGCAAGGAGCAGAATCAGCAGCAGCAACAGACGCAGCGCGACGAGTCCGCGACTGGAACACGCACGCATACATGCCGCATGATTTGATCCCGATGGGCGCACCATATTTTTTTTGAGACACATCTGTCTCTCTCTCTCTCTCTCGCGCGCGAGGCTATCCGACCGAAGGGGAGGAGGAGGAGGGGGGCGAGGATCAGGATCAGGCCTGTACGTAGCAGTCCTGGCCCAAGTCAATGGCCCCGTCGCGGGGCGTGCATCCCCGAGCCCAGACCTCCGACGGCCTGATCTGCTCCAACACGGGCCGCATTGAGCCGTCGACCCCATTTCTCCATGGCCCCTGAGCCCGAGATCGGCTCCCCGAGGCCGTGCGTCGTGGAGAGCTCGGCGTGTGTTTTTTTTCCTGTGGTCCTTTCGTTTCGGGGCGTGGCAGTTCCTGGGATTGTCCGCAGTGCGGTCGGCACGGCTGCGTCGCGGTCGGTCGGCTCGGTTGGTTCGGTCCGGCTCGTCGCTGCGCCGCTGCGTCTTTCCAGGTTGTTCTCGGTCCTTCGATTTCGGTCGACGTGGGACAGGGGAGGAAAAACCGTCTCGAAGCCCATCAATGGCGCCTGCCAAACCATGGGCGTCTCCTCCACAGTCCTGCCCTCTTCGGTTCCTTCCCAGGTGCGTTTACTAGACGGCTCCATCTGTGGGGGTGCTACAGTCAACGCGCCTATAGTCAGGACGCGCGCCTTCATCTAGGGTGCCCTTGTGTCCCTGCCTCTGCGGCCCGTCTTCTGCCGTTTCCACCGGTCGCCCGCCGCCTTCGGCCTCCAAGGGTCTTGCGTGCTTGCCACCCGTCCTTACGACACGTTGTGGCTGGATCAGTCGCAGGCCTAGAGGTTGACACCAACACCAATATCGGAGGTGTGCCTCCACCGAGGGAAGAAGATCCCGATCTCGGTGATGGTGGTAATTTTGTGGCTTTCAAGGTGACTGAAATATTATCACCAACACCGAAATCTAGGATCACCTTCCCCCTGTGGAGGCAAACCCCCTGTGTTGGTGTTGGTGCCCATCTTCAGGCCTCCACAGTCAGCACGCCGAAGTGAGGACCACTTTGGGTTCAGGAGGGGCTCTTGTTTTCGACCGCTCCGTCGACCTGGGTTGAAGGACCTTCTCGTGGCCGCGGCTCGCCGAGGCCGGACCGCCTCGCCGTCTCTTGTTCGACACTCCTCACGGCAGCGCGGTGACTTTCTGCTGTGAGAGTGGCTACTCTGCCTTGCTCTGGCCCTCGATATTCCGTGGAGGAAGAGGTACCCATGCCGCTGCCCTTCCTCGGTTTCCCCTCTTTGGGCGTCCTGGGAGGCCCTCGTCGCCACCGCCAGATTCGCCTCGAAATTCTGGTCAGAACGCGCTCCGGGAGAGGTCCAGGGAGTAGCAGTATCGGCACTTGTTGGTTTCCTCAGCTTCCGCCTTGCTCTAGCTTTCGATATCGGTTCCACCGTTTTCCAATTTGGGTGTCGCCGTGGACGTCAGTGGAAGTCGCTCCCTCGTCCCCGAAGGGACCGTGCCCTCGGCGCATGCCGCGCTCGGCTGAAGGTGGCGGAAGGCCGGGGGATGTGAAGCGGCAGCAGCTCCCCTGGCGCAAGCGGAACCCAGCAGAAGGCGAACATGCGCCACCAAGAGGTGTCAACGTTTCTGAATTCGGGTTCGTTGGACCCGGCCGCATCGGTGCATCCCGTTTCTTGATCTTGATACCGGCGTGGGCGTCCACGGAGTTCTGAGAGCCTTTTTATTTTTTTGTCATCCGACACCCCCCTCCAGAATTGTCACGGTGGAGGTATTGCGGTGGGCCAGCCCAGTATCTCGGCGCTAGTCGCATCATTGGAAAATTCGATGCGCGCATGGGCCGAAAAGGGTACTTAAGGTAGATGATAAACCAAGAATGCGCCAGGACCTATCCAGCCAAAATCCTGCCCTCGAGCACCTCCCCCTCCTGAAGGGGTGGCACGACGAGGGCAGCCACCGAGGAGAGCCGATGCTGGAGGACCGATTTCGATTCCTTTGTTCTTCAGCACTGCGCCCCAGACCAGCTCCTGGCAGGATCCTGCTTGCCTTCCGCCAGCGGAGCTAGCCCCGTTTTGCTTCCGCCGGCCTTCCGCCGAGGAAGAGATGTCATTTTGTCGACACCTCGAAGACGAGTCAGGCAGGCCAAGGAACGGGGATACGTCGCTCCGGAGCATTCCCGAACGTTCTCAGTGCGTTCCGGAACCCTCTGAAACGGCCGCGGCGCCCGCCCAAACCCCCAGACCTCAGATATACCTGATTCGTCCCGATCCACTCATGTTCCGATCTTATCTTCGCTCTAACAAGGCCCTTTCTCGAACGGCACATCTGGTGTGGGCGTTGGTTTAAGAATGCGCCCAGGTCTGCTTCAGACGCTGGGGAAGTCATTCTCTAAAGAGGGCGGCGGCGGTGGCGGTAAGAATGGCCAATCCATCACCGGAGTTCCATTGTCATCTGGTCCTTGGGTTCCTTTCGGGCATTGCGTAATGGGGGAGCGATGACTGGGGGGGAGACAGGTACACCTTTTGCGCACCTCAAGGGCCCGAAAAGGGCCCCCTGGGGTCCAAAACAGTGCACGAAAGGGGCACGTGTCTTCGACCCCCTGTTCACAGTCCCCCCAATGGGCAGGGCAACTCCAAGTCAATGGAGAGGGGGCCGTTGGCGCCCACCATGGCTGGAACCTCGGCCGCTGCGACACCTCAGTGGGGGTAGGTACGTCGTCCTGGGGGTACGTTGGAGCCTTTCCGAACCATTGGAGTTCAACCAGCCTCCGAACCATGGATTTCTTATCCGATGGTTCCTCCTTCACGTGTCGCCGCGCCGTTTGTTCCGACGCGCGGCCTTCCGTCTTGGGGAGGGCGTTTCGGCCACCAGGGCAAGCGCCGCCTCGGGCGCGGTGGGCTCGCCGTGGGGTTTGCCGCTGCACCGGCTGGGTCCACGTACTTGGGCGCGTCGAGGGCAAACGGCGCGACGACATGTGCCCTCCCCCGCCCTCCTCTCCCCTACGACCGCACCTCCCCGCGCCCTCTCGCGCAGCCGGACAGTCCCTTTGTCGCGTGCCCCCGACTTTCCGAGCGCCCGTGCTGATCGCCTCCCCGGACCCCCGACGTCGTGATTTTTCCACTGCGTCGACCTCCCGAGGTCTCGACCTATTCCCCAAGACCGGCTTTCATCCCGAGTCGTTCTTCGACGGCCCCGAGGCCCGGTGAGGGCCCCCAGAGACCGAAAATGATGAAAAACCGCGTCATGATCATGAATTTTTCATTCCTCGAGGGGGTCTGGGTCTGCCGTGTTGGGACGCCATAAGTGCCCTCACCGTACTGATTCGGCTGGGCTTAAGCCGGGCCTGTCCTTTTACTACAGGAATATTCAAATATAGTTAGGAATAGTCTGAGGACGATATTTGTTGTCTTTCTGACCGCTTTGGAGCACTTTTTGGCTTTATATGTTTTCTGTTTTGTTCAACATCCGCCTGTAGGGGGACATGCCCGACCTAAGGCTGGGCTCTGGTCTCCCTTCGGCGTCACCTCAACATACTTTTCTATATGTGCGTCGCCCCCCCCCATGAGCGACGCGCGTACTGAGACATCGTATAGTACGTGCGTCGTGGCGGGCGCTTTCTGGCCACACCGCTCGGGAAACGACATGCTACAAGATGGGAATACTATATGTTCGGGTCGGACGCGCGCCTCCATGGAGAACATATAGTACCAGTCTGTCTCCGCGCGTCAGGGTACCATACCCCATGGGGACTGCCGCCTGCAGGGTACCGAACAGCAGGTCACCAAGTACAATGATTGCTGGTGATTGCATACCTTTCCCCCTGCATGTTGTATTTGTTTTTGATTGGGTTTCCTGCACGTGCGAGTTCGAAGTAAATCCGTGCCAATGCGCCGTCTAGGTGCGGCTTTGTGGGTGTGTGGGTGTGTGTGTGTGTGTGTGGTCTGTCTTTGTGCGTCCCCTCCCTGCCCGCGGAGGGCTGCCCGCGGAGGCCCGGGCTCCTCGCCCGCGTCCTCCCCGCGTCGGCGGCCGCCCGTGGCTCGGCGCGCGGGCATGGCCTCGCTGCCTTCCGCTGTCCGCCGCGGCTGGCCCCGGCTGCTGCGCGCGGGGCCGGGCGGCGCGCCAAAGCTCGGGGGCGGCCAAGAGGGGGGTGACGACCAGGGGTGGGGGGGGGAAAATCATGGCGGGGGCCACGATATCTCCCCAGATTTCGTGGCGCCTCCCTTCATTTCCTTACGTCCCCGCCGCCCCCCCCCCTCTTGGCCGCCCCCGAAAAGCGGGCTGCACGCGCGGAGACATCCATCCACCCCTGAGATTCTGGCGTCCCAGACGCGATCGCGTCGTAGAAAGTTCTGGGCGGTTAGGTTTTCGCTATTTTCGGCCCCTGGGGGCCCTCGCCGGGCCCTGGGGCCGTCAAAAGATGACGCAGGATGAGAGACCGGCCCCGGGGAAAGGGTCGGGAGTCCTGGGGACGCCGTCCTGAAACAATCTGGACGTCGCACGTCCGGGGTTGCATTTTTTTCACAACTGCCGTTTGCGCTCCATGTTGGGCCCAGGGACCCTCACAGATCGATCCGGCCCGATTCAGGATGAAGAAGCCGCCCCGGAGAACAGGTCGAGACCTTTGGGGGTCCACGGCAGGAAAAATCATCACGTCTGGGTTTGGAGAGCCTTGCAACTCCCGTCACCACGGCGGGATTCTCCGTTCAAATTCGGTCGGAGCGCACCCCAGGCGAGGTCCGGGGAGCAGCGGTATCGATGTCTGGTTGCCCCCCAGGGTCTGAGGTGCTTGGCAGTGCTGGACCTCGGAGGGCCGAGTTAGGGCTCCAGGACCGTCGAAAAACAAGCGAGGATGAAAAGCCAGCCCCAGGGGCCCAGGGAAAGGATCGGGACTTCTGGGGAGCCCCCGTATCAGCAGAATCTAGTCGGGATCCGTTCCAGCAGCTGCGCCTCGCCGAGGGCTTTCCGCGGGTACCCGAATCGTCCCGAATTGCCGCCGGAGCCTCAATGACCAGAAATCCAGACCCATTCGAAGGTGATCACCGGAGTGATCTCTGTTGCGTTGTTTTCTGGGGGGGGCGCGGGGGAGGGTCAAATCCAAGCACGCAGGCCGCTAGTGTCGCCTCGCAACGGACGATCCGCAAAGCTGCGCACCAAAGGTTACTTTTGCATGTGGCTACTATGCCTTGGAGCCGGCAAACAGAGGGCTGGTGCGGTCTGACCAAAGAGTTGTCAAGTTGAGATTGCGCATTTTTACGCCTGGTTCTGGGACGTGTCGAAAGACTTCTGGGTTCGAACCACGGCGACTGTATACGCGTGCACACAGATCTGTATACGCAGTATACCGCAAGCACTTTGCCTGTACAGCTTCCCTGTTCCATATTTCCATAATCTGGGACCCGGCCGGCGAGTCGACAAGGCCACCGAGCTCCTCGAGGCATTCGAAAACGCCCAGGTCGCGCTCCACTTGCTGCGGCAATGTGCCCGTTTCTGCTGACTCAATTGTTCGGCGCGGGTTGTCCCGCCCACCGTGCAAACGGAAGCGCTGGTTGCCCTCGACAACGCAGTCCGCGCCACACTGTGGACCCAGCGGAGGAGTCCAAGGGTCCTCTGTCCGAGGTCCGCTGGGGCGCTGCCCTGTTCGCAGACGTCGAGTCTTTCGAGTGCGAAGAGAGCGAGAAGGTGCAGCTCAAGAAGACCCACGCCGACCTGCTGCAGATGCTGGGGGCTTCACCAGCCGCGAGTCTGAAGGCCGCCCAGGTGCGAGAGGCCATGGGCAAGCTTATGGCCAAGAAGAGGAGGACCGCGGCGGGCGCTGCTGCAGCGGGAGCCATGCCCGCGCCCGAGGAGGGCGAAGACCCGGGGGGAGCCGCCCCACCAGTTGCTGCCGCCGCTGGCGGGCCCGCGGCAGCCCCCCCCCCCTCCCAGCCGCGCCAGGCGCCAAGGCCCGGGCGCAGGACGCAGGCGGCCGCTCGGGGTCGACCGCGGGGACGGAGGGCGGCGCTGCCAAGGCCGCCCACGACGCGAAGGCCCAGGAGGAGGCGGCCAAGCTGACGGCGGCGAAGCACGCTGCGGCCGAGGCCGCTGAGACGGCCAAGCCCGCTAGCGCCGCCGAGGCGGTGCAGGCGGGGCCCCGGGCTTGACGGTCTGCGCCTGGCGGCGCGGACGTTGCCAGGGGGCCGCGCGGCCAGTTGCCAGTTTTGTCGCGCGCTGGCGGCGGAGACCATGACTCGGACGGGGAGCAGCAGTCTACCATATTTCTCGCCAGTCTCACTTCTTTCGGAGATCAAGCGCTGGCGCGCGTCACGCAACGCTGTGGATGGCATGCCCATGTGGGATGCGTCGAGACTCACCCCATCGAGTCGGCAAGACGCCAGTGGGAAAGCATGCCCGAGGTCATGGGCGCAGGTTTATTTTCACTTCGACCAGAAGTCCTTGCCGGCATCAGACAGCAGCAACAGGGGATAGAGAGTCAACGAGGGTGGCGAGCTCATCTTGTCGCGCAAGCACCTACAGGTGGAGCGACTTGCGGAAGTTGCTGTTCTCGATATTATTGCTCCTGCCTGCCAGGCGCGGGGTAGGTTCGCAGCGGCGGCAGTCCATTGTGTTGGTTTCTCATTTGTACTTGTGATCTTGCGTGGCCATAGTTCGATGGGCACGTCTGGCAAGAACTTGGCGCGATTTCAGAAGGTTGGAGCATTGCTACTATCCATTCAGATCACCTGGGTGGCCACTGGGGTTTGGAACGTGCCTCCTCAAAAGGTGCAGAAGTCTGACTTCGCATCCCGCGATCATGGGAAGAAGTCGGTGCCGCATGTGCCTTTTACTTGTGACCAGAGTTGTGGATCTACGCTGGATTATTGCATCTTGAGTGAATCGGCAGTTCCATACGTCGTTGGCTGCGGGGTGGTGCTTTCAGTTCTGCGGGGGCCGCATCTGGGACTGGCGGTCGCGATCCGCAGTTCTAGAAGGCAGACCGTCGCTCGAAGCCCCGACGCCCCAGGCCGACTTCCCAGAGCCCTCCGCCCGAGATTTTTCTTTCAGGAGGGGTCCGAGGTCTCGCGCGCCAAGGTTGACAGGGCCATCCAGATGGCTACAGCCAGACAGAAGCGGGAATATGTGTTCGGAGGGTTGTTTGGATAATACATGCAGGACAGGCGGCAAAGCGTGGCTGCCGCCATTGATGACAGTTGTTTCACTGTCCCACCGTCGGCTAGTGACCCAACGATGCAGGCCGAGTCTGAGGAGGAAGGTCCCTGGGCGCATGAGAGTTGCTTCGGGTCTGTCGCGGAGACCGTGCGAGGCGTGAGTTGCGAGAAAAGCAGGTCGCATGCGCAGCGCGGGGTTGCAGTCGCGCAGGGAGAGCCTGATCTTGCCACAGTCGAACAGCTCCAGTGTCTTTCGAGCCCCCCCCCCCGCCGCTGCGCGCCCGAGTTCCAGGTTGAGCGGCCTTCTGAGGAAGCGGCGTCGGAGGTTGAACCCGTGGGTTCTCCCGTCTCAGCCGGATGTTGGGAGCAGAATCGCCGCGCGGCGTCTTTTGCCCAGTGCAGGTGCAGTCAGATCCCTGCTCTTTTCATAGTTGTTGTAGCGTTTTGGCTCGATCCTCAGCCAGCGCCCCTCGCATCTTCATGGCGCCCCGCGCGTGTGCGAGCCGCTGAGGGAGCTGCCTGTCAGCGCCGCGGCGTCGCCACACCTGCAAGCCCGAGCAGAGGGGGCGGCTGCAGTTTCGTGATCGGGGAGGCGCGCCAGTCTGCGAGGGGGCGCACGTCGCCCCTTCGCGACCAGGTGGCGCGCCGGCGGGGGCGCGTCGCCACGTTGCTGTATCAAGCGGGCAGCCACGGGCAGCGCGGCAACGGCCGCAGATCATTCGAGAGGATCCAGCAGGCATGCGCCCACTTAGTGCGCAGTCGCCCTCAGGGATTTCACAGGCTGCCACGGCCGATCGAGGGCGCGAGCAGCCAGAAGTGGGCCGCGGTCTTGCTGGACCTCGAGAACGTCGTCATGCATGCCCAGGCTTCGTTTGCTGAGCAGGCCCACAGGCTGGCGCGGAGAGGGCAGCGCAGGGCCATCGCCGAGTCCATCGCTGAGTTCTAGGGTTAGGTCGCCGAGCAGTCTGCGATGGGCGTCCGATGAAGTGCAGAAGGCGGCCATGGCACACGCGCGCCCACTGGCGTGGGCGTGGATCGGACGACCTCCACCGACGTGGAGGTTGCCGACGGTGGCGTTTCAGGAGCTCGCGGAGCTGCTCAATGGCATCGCGCGGGCGCTGGCATGGCCTTGCCAGACGCAGCTGGTGGTCGAGAAGTTGCCCCCCAAGAAGCTGGACGGAGTTGGGCGGGCTGGCCTCTTTCCCTGGCCGCCTGCGGTCTGCTGTTCGAGAGCGACATGTTAGATATTGGCGTGACATAGTCGATCAGGACTGGGGCGCGGCTACAGAAGGGAACGATTCCTCGCTGGAGGCCTTCCATCGCGCGCTGCAAGAGGAAGTGCCATGAGTTGTGGGCACCCCGTTTGCCCGCGGACTTACTAACGCCAAGGGCTTGTATGATAATATTGAGCGCGGTTTGTCGATTTCAATGGCGTCATCTCTTGGGCAACCTCCAGCGCGCCGGTTCCTTGGGCCGTCTCAGTGCATGGCCCCTCGTGCGGTGGGGCAAATTGGGGCAGTATGCGATCCGTTCTTGGCTGCGCGCAGTATCGCTCAACGGCCCCGCGGGCGCCGGGTTCGCTGAATGTATGACGTATTACGTATTGGCTAACATTGTTCGGACACCTTCAAGAATGTCACATCGCGCGTGGACCGGTGGCCTGACTCAGACAGTAGCAGGGTCTCGGCGGGTAATTTTCGCGAAAATGTTTGAGTGCATTGCCGACACCGCTGATGAACTTAAGGAGTTGAATCTGCACATCGCCTCTAAGTCTGCCGGTGTCTGCTCCCACCACCGGGATGCTTGCGACGTCGTTCGTCATGTTCGCCAGCGGGGGCATGTTTTTAGGCATCGACCAGGGTGGGGGCCGTGGGCGTGCGAGGGCTACTAGGACTAAGACAGGTCTCGAACATTCGAATTTTCATCATCGTGCTGTTCGTTTTGCGAGGGCCTCCCGGAGGTATGAGGTGATTTCTAGGTTGGAGCGCCTTGGGGCCCAGGCCGCTGGCACCTGCGAGCAGGCCATCCACGGAGCCATTAGGAGGAAGACGCAGCAGTGCAGGAGGAGCCTAGCGGCGGCACTCTGCGCTGGCAGCAGCGGGGCTGGTATCGCGTCACTGCTCGACATTCGCGAAGGGATGTGGGATCCTGGTATTGCTTACCACGAGAGGTACTGTCCTTTTGGTTGCAACAGTGGTTTCAATGCCCGCACATCCGACCATCTATCTACAGATCCTGGCCCATGATGCTGCGCAAGTTGGCATCTATACCTCCCAATCGTCGTTTGAGATGGGCCAGGGAACCTATGTCAGCTACTATCATTGCGGTTTTGGAGCGAGGTTGGTATCTTGCTGCCCCCGCCAGTTGGAGTTTTTCAGTTGAAGTGTCCCGGGGATTTCCCGAGGAGCGCTATAATTCGGAGATGGCACTGGATACTCTGGTCGTTTTTTGGGGATTTGAACAAGTCGTCGGGGAGCGAGCACGGGAGAAAGGCTGCTTTACATTTCTGTGGTGCAGGATTGGAGTCTGGAGCTGGTTATTTAATCGCTTCGCTCATTCCGCCGGCCCTGGAGCGCTATCTGGAGCTCTTGGGGCCGTCTTGGGGGCTTCTTGGGGGCTTCTTGGGAGCGTCTTGGGGCTCCTTGGCGGCGCGCTGGGCCCCCGTGGAGCCTCTTGGGGGGCTCTTGGGGGCCCCTTGGGGCTGGATGGGGGGGCAGTCGATTGCAGCCACCCCCCTCGGAGGCCACGATCCTCGTGAGGTGTGGTGAAAAATAGCCTCCCCCCTGGGGGTCGCCCAAGGACCGGCCGGGGATCGGCCGGGGTACTTTTCGTCCGGGGCCCCCCAGGGGCCGCCCCGCGCGCGCGAACTAGAAATAGTGTTGAGTAGTTACCGGAGATCTTAGCACGCCTCTGGCCCGTTGGGCCGGCGAATTTGTCTTTGAGGATTGTGCTGAAGTGTTTGGAGGTTTTACACTATGGCCGTCGTTTGGCAGAAGCCACGGTCATTGTCGCGGTTGGCAGAAAAACCATGACGTATCAAGGATGCCATGACAAGCTGCACTTGCGACCGCAGGGAGAGTTTGCCGATCTCTGGGCCATGGTGGGTCGCATGATGCGTGGACGGTGTGCCGAGCATGTCATCGTGTTGTTCGTGAATTCCCATCAGGATGGGAAGAAATTCGTTGAGGCTGGTACCCCACCCTGGCTTGCGAGAGGCAACGCCATGGCAGATGTTGTCGAGCATGAGAGGGGATGGCTCGCGATCGTCGAAGAGAAGGCTTACAGGGTTCGACTGCGACTGCTGCGAACCCACCTCGACAGCGCGCTGGCAGAGGAAAGCAAGATCAGGAAGGCTCGCTGCTTGCGGGAAGGCAGGGCGAGCAGGGTGAACAATGTAGTTAAGTGAGGGACGTCCCGTTCCCCCCCTTCCCCCCCCGCCCGCCCCTCCGCTTCCGAGGCCTTGTCCTGAGGCTGCTTCGGGGCTTGTGAGCGGGCATGTGTTGGACGAGTCGGGGCGTCGGTGCTCGAGGTGTCGTGGATCGGCATTCTCCGATGAGCTGCGAAAATGGAGAGCCGCCCCCTGTTTCGAGTTGTTCTCGCTCGATGGGTCCCTCCGTGCCCGTCCTCGGGAGTGGGAGCTGCACATCGCGGGGGGGAGCTTCCAATAGTCACGATCGCAGGTACCATGATGTTGTTGGTATTTGGTTTTGCTGCACGTGTAGCATGTTTTGTGATCAGCAATTGGTGGGGCTGGGTAAGGAGTGTGACCGGTTTCCCACCGCTGCCAGAGCAGAATACTCGAGGCGGAGCAAGGGGCTTTGGCCTAGGCTGTGAGTCAAGCTGAGCGTGCCAAGGGGGTCCAGAAGGGGCTCCGAGCATGCGGTAGGTTTGAACTTTGTCCTGGGACTCTTACTCTTACTCTCACTCCTCCTCCTCCTCCTCCTCCTCCTCCTTCTCCTCCTCCCCCTCCTCCTCCTCCTCCTTCTCCTCCTCCTCCTCCTCCTCCTCTCCGTCCTCCTCCTCCTCTCCCTCCTCCTCCTCTTCCTCCTCCTCCTCCTCCCCCTCCTCCTCCTCCTCCTTCTCCTCCTCCCCTCCTCCTCCTCCTCTCCGTCCTCCTCCTCCTCTCCCTCTCCTCCTCTCTTCCTCCTCCTCCTCCTCCCCTCCTCCTCCTCCTCCTTCTCCTCCTCCTCCTCCTCCTCCTCCTCTCCGTCCTCCTCCTCCTCTCCCTCCTCCTCCTCTTCCTCCTCCTCCTCCTCCTCCGCCTCCTCCTCCTCCTCCTCCTCCTCCTCGTCCTCCCCCTGCTCCTCTCCCTCCCCCCATCCTTTGTGGCGCGCCGACCAGGGGTGCGAGGCGCCCCGCCGCGCGCCAGCCGCCGCGGGCGCGCCGCTTCTGCGCCGGGGCGGGCGACAAGATGCTGCGCGGCATCGTGGAGCTGAACTCCCACAGGTTCTCCAAGGCTCGGGGAAAAGCAAACGTTGATGGGCTTGTTTTCCACCTTCATCACCATAAGATAGAGGGGGAGGAGGTCCTCCTCCTCCTCCTCCTCTTCCTCTTTGTCCTTCCCCCCTCCAACTTATGGTGGTGGTGGTGGTGGTGGTGGAAAACAGGCGCATCAAACGTGGATAAAGGCGTGTGCATCAGCGACGGATCCTGCTTCCGTGCAGCGCCGGCGCACTCCGTCGCCAATTCGGCGGCATGGGCTTCATGCTTCGGGGGAGTGGTCCCCGATCCGGGGATTTGGCGCCCATGCGCGCCAGATCCACTGACCCCCAACCCAGGGCAGCGTCTGCCCGAGGGGCGCGTCCGACGAGCCAGCGGGTTCGGCGGCACCTCATGGGAGCCCTGCATGGCCTCGACGTTCTGCATCCAAATTGCGCTGACTTGCGCGAGAGTCTGGCAATCGATGAGAGAGCGTCGATGTAGCGCTGATGTAGCGCCGATGTGTCGTCGACTACCGCTGACTGAGCGCCGATGAGCGTCGGCGAGCGTCGACTCGCAAGACGCAGCAAGATTACACGGGGGGCTCCCGTGAAGTTGCCACAGAAAGCGGGGTTCCCGAGGGAAGGGGGGCCCGCGGTTTGGGGCCCTTCTCGGCCTCGTCCTGGGGGGTGCCCTTTCTGGAATCTGGAGCCTTGCAGCAGAAGCCGCTCGACAGACTGGGCGCTAGCTGGCCCGTGATATCCCCTTGCTCGGCTCCTTCCACCGGGAGGTCCAACTGCGATTCTTTTCTACGTCGCCGCGATCATGGAGTTCTGACAGAGAGGCGCGGGGACCCCGCCCTTTTGGCAATTCTAGTCGAGAGGTCCCGGCAACCTGGGTGCGACTTGTGCAGTGATAACCGCATGGTCGCTTCGCCCTTGGGATGCCCAAGTGTCATGCCTGCTACATCGCCATGGCCATGGGATTCTGAAGAGGGACACGTCTACCCCTGACAGACAATAACATGGTAGCCACCTCAAAGGTTCTGACAATCTGGGTGCAAAGTGACCAGTGCTAACCCCGTGGTCGACCCCCTAGGAGGCCCCATTGCTATTCCAGGCAACATCAACATCGCGGTGACCATGGAGAACGAGGCTGGGTCAGAACGAGTCTGACTATGAGTGGGTCTGTGTATGAATCAATATGGGCGCGAGTGAGTCTGACCGCATGTGAGTGTGAGCGTGGATGAGACCGAGTACGTACGTGTGAGTCCGATTGCGGGTGTTGCTGAGTGTGGGCGAGTCTGAGTGTAAGAGGATAGGTGAGCAAAGTGAGTATGAGTATGAGCGAGTCTGAGTATGAGTGAGTCTGGGTACGTATGAGCGAAATGGCTTGCGTGTGGGCCTCTGCGAGTGGGGTCTGTGTGTGAGGACGGGCCTCGGCATGGGCCAGTCCGAGCGCTGTCAGCCTGAGCATGGAGACAGGGAAGAGACGGGAGGTTTGAGTTAGGCGGACGGGGCCCGACTAAAAACGAGAGCCCTTGTTTGAGACATGGGGAAACGCAGCCATGGTGAACAATCCGGTCCCGGAGGGCGCACTGGCAGTCCAGGACCCGTGTCGCTCAGGGCCCCCCTTGGTTCATGGCGAAAGGTGTCGTTGGAGGACCTCCTGCGACTGCAGGAGCTGACGCCCCAGCAGCGGCTGAGCCACCTGGACCAGGTGCTGCGCATCGGCATATCAAAGATCATCCTGCTGCTGCAGGACATGCCCCTGGGCTTCAGCTCGACGACGCCCATGCGAGCTGTCATTCTGGACTACGTCCAGGACCTGCGTGACTTGGACACCTGCTCCCCAGACCACATGGAGAGCTTCCAAGCCTGCACAATGCGGATCTTCGCCAGGCACCGCGATCTGATCTTGCAGCTCGAGCGGGGCATCGTAGAGTTCCAGTCCGGGGTCAAGAGCACCTACAAGCCGTTCGCTGGTTTGGGGCCCACGCGCTGCGAGGATGTGTCGGACAGTGTCCCAGGCATGCGCAGGATCGGGGAGGCGCTGGACGAATTCTTCAAAATGCGCGCCACACTGAGGCTGCTCATCGCCCACTGCCTGGAGCTCAATGGTGAGGCTATCCTGCCTGCACGTTATAGCCAGCCTGCCAGGGCTGTCGACATGGAGACGGGCGGGGTGAATCTGCCCGAGGTCAGTCGAGTGGGCGTGGTGAACCTCAACACGCGCCCGTCCATGGTCCTCGTGGAGGCGTTCCAGCACGCGCAGCTGTGGTGCCGACAGAAGTTCAACCGCTCTGTGCCGCTGCTGGTGAACGATGTTCCAGCGCTGCAGTACCCCGCGAGCATGACGACGGAGGACGAGGGCACGCCCTACGTAGACATGCACCTCTACTTTGTCTTTTTCGAGGTGTTGAAGAACGCCTTCCAGGCCAGCCTGCGCCACGCCGGCGGCGAACTGGCCGGCCACGGCGACGTACCGCCCGTCTACGCCACAATGGTGTCTGGAGCATCGCCGAGCGACGAAGAGACCGAGCGCATTGTGAAGATCTCGGACTCTGGACCTGGAGTTCCCCGCGACCGCGTAGGCAAGGTTTGGAGCTATTTCTACTCCACCAAGGATGCCAAAGATAGGACGAGCATGAGCGAGCCAGGCTACAGCGCCGCTGGGGGCGCAGCAGAACGGTTGCCTGGAGGCCTTGGCCTGGGTGTGAGCCGCGTGCTCACACGGTACTTCGGCGGGGAGATCAAGTTTCACTCCATCCAGCGAAAGGGCACCGACGTGTACATTTACATCTGAGCGCGGACGTAGAGGCGTGCGCGACAAAAAGCTTGGAGGCCGAGGGAGGGAACGGGACGGGGGAGGGGGGGGGGGGAGGAACTGGGGGGGAGGAGGGGCGGGGAGGAGGGGAGCTGGAGCCTCGAGCCGTCGCACCCCGTGGCGTGGCCCGGGCATCGGGGGAGGAGGGGAGGAGGAGGAGGAGGGGCGCGTGGAGGCCGCCCTTCCTGCCTCTGGGCAGGGCGGGGCGGGGGCGAGCGAGGGGCAGAGGGCCCAACAACATCCCCGCCCCCGTCTCTCTCTCTCTCTCTCTCTCTCTCTCCGCCCCGCCCCACGGGGCGGCACGGGCGCCGAGGGAGGCGGGCCTCGGACACCCAGCTGCCTTTTGCGACCGCTCTCTCTTGTGCGCTCTCTTGTGCGCTCTCTTGCCGATCGGCGCGGGCCCTCGCCCCCCCCCCCCCCCACGCCTCTCGGGGGTGGATAGACCTCCTGTCCTGACACGTCGAATAGCGAATTGGCCGTTTTCGGTTCGCGGGAGGGCGTCGCGGCCGTCATTTTTGAGGGTCCAGGTCCATCGGTTTCGGTCCTAGTCCGTTTTCCCTAAAGGGTGGTTTACTAAAGGGAGGTTTGTCCACTGCCGACCCTCCCCCCCCTCACGGAGTAGATCTTGGCTGTTTGGGGCGCCTGTCTCGAGCAGCCGGAGTCTCCTCCACAGGGCGCACGGACGCAAACCGTCGCACTGAGCAGAGGTCCGGAGCCAGACCCCCCCCCTCCCCCCCCCTTCCGCTCAATGTCGAGACGCCGAATATGCAAACGCTCCATCCCCAGGAGGCCACAGCGGCCCTCCCCTGCGTTTTGGGGCGCCCCTTTTCTCGGCCTCCCGGAGGCTTCCCGTCGCCGCGGCTGGATCTCCGCTTCGAGAGACGGGTCAGGGGTGGACCCCAGGTGGCGTCCGGGACCGATGTTCCCTCCCTCCCTCCCTCCCTCCCTCTCCCTCCCTCCCTCCCCCCCTCCCTCCCCCTCCCTCTCCCCCTCCCCCCCCCCCTGCCCCGTTTTGAGCGGATTTGGGTCGGGCGGGGGGGCCGCCGTTGACCTGCTCCTCATCCTAGGTCCTAAGGTCCCTGGAGCCCCAGAGATCGTCTTCTCGCTCGGTGAACCCATGAGGGCGGTTCCCCCGCAGCGTGCGTGTGCGAGCGTCGCAGGCATGCTGTGACGCTTGCAGGCCCTCTCCCCTCCGAGGCGCAACCCCGCTGCGAATCCGTCCCTGCTCGGGGGGGCAGCGTTCTCTCGAGGCACAGAAACCGCACCAGCACAAGCGTTCGGAGGTCCGCGCGGGTTTCGTGGATCGGCGCTGGACCCCGGACGCTAGGGGCTACGGGTGGGCTGATCAAACGAGCATATACCCTGGCAGCCCGAGAGCGGCGAGCTGCCTTCGGAGGACGGGCCGTCTCCTCCAGGGCCAGCGGCCTCCGGTCGGTGCGCCAGGTGCCGCCTCCTCCCCGTGGAGTGGGCCCGCCCCGCTCGCCCTGGCTAGCTTCTGGGCTGGCCTGAGGTCGACTCCCTGCCCCACCTGCTCCATCGGTAACACGCAAGAGGGACCTCTCGCCGGAGTGACCTGTGGTGCGGGCACACCCGGGGCCTCCAGAGGGCTGAGTGCGACGCGACAGCAGCGGCTTGCGCGCTCGGGTTTGGCCTCCCCCCGCCCCCCGGAGGCTGCGCACCAAGGGTCACTCTTGCCTGAGGTCACCGCTGCGCGCAGTCAAGTTTAGAAGCGCGTTTTGGGGGGTCATGCACTCCTGGGGCCCATCTAGATCTGTTCGACCCTAGGTCTACTCCACCTCGATTCAAGTTTGGCCCAGGGTCGACTCAAGTCAACAGACGTTCGACGCAGTATGGACGCATGAGTGGAGCGAGCGGCTTCAGGAATATCGCCAGAACGAGCATCTTCACCATCCCTCGTGGACCGAATTCCCGGGAGGAAGAGCGAATCTCCAGGACACACCGCCGTTGGGAGCCTGTCAGTGCGTTTTTCGTTCGCTCTTGTCCGAACGCCTGGGCCTCCTTCAACAGTGGCGCGCTGAAGGGTTCCTCCCCCTACACACATACTCACACACGCACACACACACACACGCGCACACACTCTCGGCACAACGCTGTGTGACTCTCGCGCCCCCGTGGTGCCGCCTGGTTTCGCGGTGACTACTTACCGATGCCCGAGTCCGACAGTCACCCTTCGCGGTCCGTGGGTCCGCATGCGCACCCACAAACACACACACACAGACACTCGCACGCACTCGCGCGCGCACGCGCGCACACACACACGCACACACACACCCACACACACACACTCACACACACGCACACACACGCACACACGCACACACGCACACGCACACGCACACGCACACGCACACGCACACACGCACACGCACACGCACACGCACACGCACACGCACACGCACACGCACGCACTCGCACACGCACTCGCATTCGCACACGCACACGCACTCGCACACGCACACGCACAAGCACACGCACACGCACACACACACACACACACACCACACACACACACACACACACACACACACACGCGCGCGCACGCGCACGCGCACGCACGCGCACGCGCACGCGCACGCGCACGCGCACGCGCACGCGCACGCGCACGCGCACGCGCACGCGCACGCTCACACGCACGCGCACGCGCACGCACGCGCACACGCACACGCACACGCACACACACACACACACGCACACACACACACACACGCGCGCGCACACACACACACACACACGAACACACACACACACACACACACACACACACACGCACGCACACACACACACACACACAAAAAAAAAAAACACACAAAAACACAACGCGCGCGCGCACGCCCGTAGTCAGTTTGGCTCAAGATGCTCGGTTCTAGGGGTGGGCCCCGCGGATCCGTGGCAGATTCTATGTTTTCTTGTGCGCTCACGCAGGGGCCACACCTGGGCAGGGCTCAGCGCGGCCCAGGCAGTCCATATCACGGCGGCCCGCGGGGCAGTTGCGTCCAATGAGGGAGGCAAAACCAGCGGCAAAGGTCTCCGCATGGCAGGCAAGGGTTCCTTGGAGGGCGAAGCAGATTACTTGCGCTGCGTGGGCTGCTCCCGCGTGCTACCACTGCCAGAAGCCCCACAAGCCTGTGGAGGCGGAGTACCAGGCCCCCAAGGGTCAGTGGTCCAAGCGGCCATGGGCCGGGGGGCCGCCAGCTCCGAGCGCACCTGTGGACGAGCAGGTCATGGCCGTCTTCGCAGCCGCGCGCCCCGCCCTCGGGCTTCAGCTCTAGGCCATCAAGGTCGCCACGTCGCCCCCGCCCGTTGTGGCCGAGGCTTTGCCTTACGTCGCCCGTAATCGTGCTCGAGCAGAGCCACGTCGTGCCGAAATAACCTTCCAGGACGCGGCTCAGGCGGTGTTGCACTCCAAGCAGTGCTTCCAGGAGGAGCAGGAGGCGGAGCTGCAGGCAGGCGAAGCACTGCTCGCAGCCAAGGTGGCAGTGCAGGCGGCCTTCGGGGCGGCAGCCCCGTAAGGGGTGGTGGTCGAGTCTGGCGCTCTGCAGGCCGAGCCAAAGTCCAAGCCGGTCGCCGGTCTCAACGCCTCGGCCCCTTCTCCAGCGACTTCCCGGTGGACGCACGGGAAGCCCTCGACCTGGGCGGCCCAGACCCGGACGTCACCGACGCCGAGCGAGATGAGTGAAAGGTCTCCGTCCAGGCTATCGTCGACCAGGCGCGGAAGCGCGTCGCCCCCCGCCTTCGGCGAAGCCAGGGCAGCCCTGGAGGCCAGGAAGGCCGACGTCGACGCCAAGCACGAGGCCCTCCTGGCCAGGGCAGGAAATGACGAGCCGTAGCAGGAGCAGCGCCAGCGGCAACACCGCTGGAGCATCCGCGCGCCCTTCGCCTTGAACGGCAGGAGGTCAGCCGACTCGCCAAGAGGGCCCGAAACATGGCGCGCAGGTGGATGCCGGAATCGAGACGTGGACTGCATCGTGCGGAGCTGGCGGAGCCAGTGCACCCCGTGCGTCTTCACCTTCCCAGGCCCCGTGGAGTTCCAGGCCCGGTTGGATGACAGAGCGATCGGGGCGAGCAGCGGCAGGATGCTTGAGAGAGTTTTGCGCGGCGAACGGCTTGTGCGGCACGGCGTGGAGGCAAGGCGCGAGCGCGCGCAGGAGGTTGAGGCGGTGGCTCGAGAACCCACAGGCGGCCAGCACGCGCGGCTACGAGGTGGATGCACGGAGGGAGCGCTTTCAGGAGGGCTCGAGTCTCGGAGGTTGACAGACCTCCTACACCTTGACACGTCGAATAACGAATTGGCCGTTTTCGGTTCGCGAGGGGGCGTCGCGGCCGTCATCTTTGCGCGTCCAGGTCCATCGGTTTCGGTCCTAGCCCGTTTTCACTAAAGGGTGGTTAGCTAAAGGGAGATTTGTCCACCGCCGAAGGTCGGTGTTTGGAACGGCCAAGGCGACCAGTCCCGTTGGGCAGCGTCGACTCAGTTGTGCCTCCGCGCACTCTTCAGTGGCCACCTGATGGCACGGGTCTTCCCGGTGAAACGGGCTTGAAGGCGTTCCCCGCGACTCCACAGGTGCCCGAGGTGCCCGAGGTGCCCGAGGTGCCGTCGCTCGGTCGAGAAGGTTTCTTAACGCCTCTTGGGGAGGAGACGGGGGCGGGGGCCGCCCCCGTGACCCCCGCGCGAGCTCGAATCACCACCTGTCGATCACGGAGGGCTCCGTGTGTCTCGCGGGGGCGTGACGGGAGAGGGTGCTCCCCCCTGCGATCCCACGGGGCGGTGAAGCGCCGCCAGGGGGTCGAGGTCTCTTCGCGTTCCTTTGGACTGGGATGGGAGTCGGGGCCCTCTCCGCGACTCCGCAGCCGACCAGGGAGTTTTCCTGCATGCCCCTTGGCAGTGCGACGGGGAGCGGGCGCCTCCCCGGCGACTCCACCGGGGCAGGAAGCACCGCCTGACGATCGAGGAGTGCACATCTCCTGGTGAGACGGGAGTGGGTGGGGGCTCTGCCTCTTCCCCCATCACGCTCCACTGTCCACTGCCCATCGTGCCTCGCCTCCTCCCTCCCCGCTTTTCCTTCCCCCTTCCGCCCCCCCCCGCTCCCTCTTCTCACGACCGGCTTCCTCTTCCCGCGGTCTGCGCCCCGCTTGAAGATCGGAACTCTCGCCGCGGCGGCTCTGGGGATAAGCGCTCGAGGCCTCGTGGGGTTGGTCGCATCCGGGCGGCCTGTGGCGCTGACGACCGCGGGACGGCGTTCGGGCGACGCTGCTCCTCCTCGTATTTCCTTTCGCCCTCGTTCCCCAACTCCACGAGGCCCCAAAAGGCCCCCAGGAGGACCCCAGGAGGCCCCCAAGAGCCCTCCTCTTCTTCCTCCTCATCATCAGTATCATCATCCTCATCATATTCCTCCTCCTCCTCCTCCTCGTCATCATCATCATCATCATCATCATCATCATCATCATCATCATCATCATCATCATCCTCATCATCAACAACATCATCATCATCATCAGCATCAGCATCAGCATCAACATCATCATCATCAACAACAATATCACCATCGTCATCGTCATCATCACCATCATCATCATCAGCAGCATCAACATTATGATTATGATTATTATTATCATCATCATCATCATCATCATCATAATCGTCATCATCACCATCACCATCACCATCACCATCACCATCGTCATCATCATCATCACCATCATCATCACCAGCATCATCATCATCATCATCATCATCATCATCATCATCATCATCATCATCATCATCATCATCATGATTATTATCATTATCATTATCATCGTCATCATCATCATCAGCATCATCATCATCATCCTCGTCCTCGTCCTTGTCCTCCACCTCCCCCTCCTCCTCTTCGACCTCTTCCTCCTACCCCCTCCCTATCCTATCCTATCCTATCCTATCCTATCCTATCCTATCCTATCCTATCCTATCCTCCAACTCGTCTCCCGTCTAACTTGTCCCTCCTCCCAGTTCTCCCCCCTCCTCTCTCCTCTCTCCTCTCTCCACAACCCTTCCTACTGCCGCTGTTCCTGCTCAGGCGCCACACCTCGAGGTTCGTCTCCATCTGGACGCTGACGCTGCCGCTGGAGGGGCAGTACTCAGGGGCGGTTCGGGCAGTACTCAGGGGCGGTTCGGATCTCTTCTCCTCCTCCTCCCTCTTCTCCTCCTCCTCCTCCTCCTCCTCCTCCTCCTCCTCCTCGTGGGCCTCCTTCCGTTCTGTTCGTGTTCTGCACCTGCCCCCGGTCCTCCTCTGGGCTTCAGGACTGTCAGCGACAGAGAGAGAGAGGGATATGATTCATTTATGATGTAGCGAAAAAGTGAGATAATACCAGCCACAGAGAGGGACTGACGGGAAGGACGGGGTGCTGATATATGTGTATATGGGGCGCTGTTGTAAGGGACGAGCAGCACAAACATTGAGAAGCAGCTTGTGTGCAACAGCGGTGTCACATTCATGGCGATGCCGCTGGGCTGCAGCTTGTCCTCGCGCACGGCGGGGGGCAGGCGATAGTCAGCGACCTCCGCTGGCTGACGGCCCCCGTGATCCTCCTGATCACATGGGCCCTCTTCGGCATCATGGAGATAGGCCCGCGCCCCGCCCGGCCCCTCCGAGCCACAGGGGGCCAGAGGAGCCCCCCCCGGGCCCCCAAGCCAGAGCGACGGGGGGCAGAGAGCGCTGCGAGAGGGGAGGGCGGCCCGCCCTGCGTCGCTGCCCGCCCCGGGCGGCCCGCCCCGCCGCGCGCCTGCTGCTGGCGCGACCTGCCCGCGGCACGCCCGCGGTCTCCACGGCGACCCGCCGCTGCGGCACGCCCGCGGCCCGTGGCCCGCCGCCGCGGCCCGCGCCCTGCCTGCGAGCCGCTGCCGCCCGCCGCGGCCCTCGCCCGCGACCTGCCCGCGGGGCCGCTGCTCGGCGGCGCGCTGTGGCCCTCGGGGCCCCCCCGGAGGCTTCCGGGGGCCTGCGCCCGGAGCGCGCCGCGCCGCGGACGCACTGGCGATGCATCAGCGACTCAGGAGGGGAAAAAACACACAGACACAATCAATCGTCGATTCCCCAGAAAATGCGGGAAAATATGGGAAGTGTAGGGGGAAGACAAAAACCAAGAACATATGGGACAAGATTGGGAATCCTGATATTTGTGTCTATTTGTCCGTGTGTCCCAGGGCCCCTTCAGCGACGCCGGGGTGGAGGGAATCGGGCTCCGCGGCGAGCCGCGTCGCCGGGGCATCAGCAGTGCGGCGTGCACCCTGGGACCCCCCGTTGATCTCCGACGCACCGGCAGCTTGCTCGCAGAGTCGGCCAGACCCGGTGCCCATGTGTGCGCCGCGTGCCGCTTGGAAATCTGGCGCGTGTGGCGCCATTCCTTCTCATCAAACCGTACGTGTTCAGCCATACGTTCGATTTTGCAGGAGGCTTGAAGATCCGCAGCGGGACTAGGGCCACAGCAGGTTTGATCCACTCACATGCAGGATTCCCAGCAGAGGGCCACAACAACGCTGTCGATAGTGCAGGCCTCCTCTCTAATAATTATCGAAGACGCCTTCAGTGAACCACAGCCTCCCCCCTGCCTGTTGGAATCGGTATGTGGCCAATCGTGTGGCCAAAGCCTTGCTAAACTATTGGACCATGTGTTCCCCCAGCCGTGAGGGGAACACTTGGGGAAGGAGAGGCGAGGATGAGAGGGAGGAAGAGGAAGAGGAGGAGGAGGAGGAGGAGGACGAACAAGAGGAGGCCTCTTTGGGGCCTCGAAGGGGCTCGAAGGGACCTCTTGGCCTTCGATTTGGGGGACTCACTGGGCGGTATTGGGGCCCTCTTTGGAAGCTTTAGGTCCGTCTTGGGGCCCCTGGGGCCGTCTGGTGGACCCCTTGGGGTCTCCTTGGGGGCATATGGGGCCGTCTTGGAGGCCTCTTGATCCGTCTTGGGTCCGTTTTGGAGATATCTTGGGCCGTCCTGGGCCATCGGAAGTCCAAACAGGAGCAAACGCCCCAATCTGTTTAAAACCCGAGGATGGTCAATAATGCTGTACTCGGCGGGCCTTCTTGGAGGGCTCTTGGACCGTCCAGGGTGCCCCTTGGGCAGTCTTGGGCCATCTTGGAGCAGCATTCTGCCGTCTTGGTGCCATCTTGGCCGCCTTGGAGGCAACCTTGGGCCATCTTGGCCAGCTTGGCTGTCTTGGAGGCCATCTTGGGCGTCCTGGAGGCAGGCGAAGATGTTTGAGGTGCCTTCTGGGCGGCTTCCAGGGATGGGCCGAGGCCCCACTGGGAATTCGTGGAATGACAAGCTCCTCCACCTCCTCCTCCTCCTCCTCCTCCTCCTCCTCCTCCTCCTCCTCCTCCTCCTCCTCCTCCTCCTCCCCCTCCCCCTAACCATTTCGCGTCCGAGCGGCCCCCCCCCCCCCCCTGCACCGGGCATCCTGGACGATGCGGCGCGCCAACTTCGAAATGGCGCTGCGCGCCCGAGCAGTCAAGAAGAAACAGTGCGGAGCCCAACGTCATCAGCTACCATGCTGAGACCAGGCGACCGCGCAGCTGCCAGGATGCCCGCTCCCTTCCGCTCCCTCCTCCCCTCCGTCCTTCCCCTCCTCCGCCTCCTGGCACACCGGGGCGCAAGCCGTTGCGGCGCCGCGGACAGAGTGCGGGGCAAGCAGGGTCTCGATCAGCTACAGCGTAGGGATCAGGCCGTGAGAGAAGACAAGCAGTGGCAGGCAAAGCTGACGCTGCGAGAAAGCAAGCAGTGGCAGCCAGAGCTGGCGCTGCGAGAGAGAGACGAAAGCGCGGGTGTGCCACGATCCGCTACAACGCTGGGAGTAGTCCGTGTGAGAAAGGGAGTGCGCAGTGGCAGCGGACGCTGGTGCTGTGTAAAACGTGCGGGTGGGCCACGATCAGCTACAACGCTGGGAGCAGTCCGTGCGAGAAGTGGGGCCTGCGAGAAGCGGGAGGCAAAGCTGGAGCACGAGTGTCTCATCTAGCCAACGCCTCTGGGAACAGCGCGTGCGAGAAGAGCGAGCGGTGTTTTGTCGCGACGCAGGTGAGCGCCGCCATGCGAGAAGCGGGAGGCAAAGGTAGAACCCGACGTGGTCAGCTACAGCGTTGGGATCAATGCGAGAAAGGGAACGCGCAGTGGCAGCGGCCGCTGGTGCTGTGCAAAACGTGCGGGTGGACGCCCCGTTACAACGCTGGGAGCAGTCCGTGCGAGAAAGGGGGCCTGCGAGAAGCGGGCGGCGAAGCTGGAACCCGAGTGTCTCATCCAGCTAACGCCTCTGGGAACAGCGCGTGCGAGAAGAGCGAGCGGTGTTTTGTCGTGACGCAGGTGGCCGCCATCCTGCGAGAAGTGGCAGGCGAAGGCAGAGCCCGACGTGGTCAGCTACAGCGTCGGGGTCAGGGCAACTCGCTGCGTGAAGAGGGAGGCAAAGCTGGAACCCAACGTCACCCTCCTAGCTACCACAGTGCGCTGGGAGAAGCGAGAGGCAAAGCTGGAGCCCGATTCTGTCTTCCTCTAGCTAACACGTTGGGAGAAAGCGGTGCGAGATCAGCTACAGCGCTGGGATCGAAATGGCACGGGGATCCGCTGGAGGGCTCATCAGCTACAGTGCTGGTATCATCTGTAGCGAGAAAGGGAGGCATTGACCTGTGCGCAGGCGGCGCCGAAGGCACGGCTCGGCGCCACCTGGGGGTGGGGCCGCAGCCGAACCAACGCAGATGGGATCAGCCAGTGTGCGGGTATCGTCAGCGTGAGGTTCAACGGCATGGGGCACCCCCAAGACCACTTATGAGGGGCGCCTCCCGATTTGACCAAAGCCGAACTTTATCGCCCAGGGACGGCCTGGGGTAGGGGAGGCTTTCAACGTCGCCGGGGCGCGTGCCTCGCAGCTCCGGAGATCTGGCTAGCGAAATTCAGCGGAATCCTCCTTCTCCTCCTCCTCCTCCTCCTCCTCCCTCTCCTCCTCCTCCTCCTCATCTTCTTTCTTCCTCTTCCTCTTCCTCTTCCTCCCTCCTCCCTCATCCCTCATCCCTCCTCCTCCTCCTCCTCCTCCTCCTCCTCCTCCACCTTCACCTCTTCATCCTCTTTCTCGTGTTTGTGCGTATCCTCCTCCTTCTCCTCCGCCTTCTCCGCCTCCTCTTCCTCCTCCTTCTCCTCCTTCTTGTCCGCCTCCTCCTCCTCCTCCTCCTCCTCCTCCTCCTCCTCCTCCCGCAGGCAACTTCTGGCACGCCAGCAGCCCCTCGTGCGGGCAGCAGGGGGCGGCGGATTCGCGGCAGGAGCTGGCCTGCTGGCGGGTGCCCCACGGTGGTTTGTTGCCCCGCGATGGGCCTTCAGGGCCCGGGGCATCTCACGAGGCTCAGAGTCGACGAAATATTTGGCCCACGAGATCTCACAGTAGGACGCCTGCAGTGGCCTTCGGCCCATCCCGCCACCGTGCCTGGGTGGCAGATCAAAGGCGTCTTGGATGCCGGTGGGGGCCTCGGAGGTCTCCCGCAAGCCGCCCGGAGGCTGTGCTGCAACGCTGGGGGGCCGCGGGCGAGGCGGGCCGTTCGCAGACGCAGCGCCAGGCCGTCGCTGATCAGTCCTGGTTGGGAAGCTGTCCCCACCCCCTGCCCCTATCTAGGCCCCCCAGATGGGGTTGGAGCGCTCTGGGGTTGAAGGATGGCGCCGCATCGTCGGTGTATCGTCAATGCGGCTCGATGTGGAACCCGATGTTCTACACGTCGGCGCCGCCGATTCATCGCCGATATCGACGATGCGTCGCCGGTGCATCGCCGATACATCGCCGACATGTGGGAGACTTTTACCTTAGCGGGCCCTGGAAACGACAGGATCGTTTTGGTACCGATTGTTTTTTGCCGTTTCTTTGCCGGTTCCGCCGCCGTTTTGGTTGATGGTTCCGTCGCCTTTTGTTTGTCGGTTCCGTTCCCGGTCCCGATGCCGGAGCCGTTTTTGTTGCCGTTTTCGGTCCCCGTTTTTCTGCCGCCTTTATTTCAAGAGACATTTTACGAAAACCGTGAACAATGGCCTTGCCGTTTCCGGGGCCCACGGAGCCCCTACCCTCTCAGGACCCAGGGCGACATCGCCCCCCGAGCCCCCCAATAAAGCCAGGCCGTGCGGGGGAGAACTGGTGCTCGGGGACTCAGCCCGGACGCAGCCCTCACGAGTCTGGGCGCCCCTCTCGAGCTGGGGCCCCCCCGTGGTATTTCCTTGGACCTGGCCTCAATTTTCGATCCAGTCGAGACCCTCAAACAGATGCTGTTGTGTGGGTCGCCATACTATTAAGTCGGGCCTGTCCCTCTACAGGAGGAATATTGAAAAATAGTCAAAAGATAGTATCGGGATGATTTCGTTTAGCATGTTTTGATTATTTTGGGGTACTTGTTGAGGTATTTATGATTTTTCACCCCAAATCCGCCTGTAGGGGGACATGCCCGAACTCACCATACCACCCATTACGTTCGGGAGCGGGAGCACTTCAGCTCAGCGTGTCGCTCCGCCAGTTCTGGCCCACCGCGCTCCGGCGCGACACGATAACCACGTCCGAGCTCCCAAGCGTCAACGTCCCGAGTTTTTCCCAGCCTGCCGTCCCGCGGAGCGGAGCGATGCGCCATCGGCCCGCAGGGCATAACGTGTCGCCGGGGCCACCACCGCGACACACCAAACACAGCTGCCCGACCAGAAGGAGGGCATCCTCCTCGGCCACCTTCGGGGAGTGGGGAGTGCGCGCCACGTGCGCCGCCAGCGGCCCACCGCCCCGAAGGGCACATGATCGAGGACCCGTTCCGGGCCTCCCTCGAGCTCACGCCAATCTGCCGGGCGAGCGCGTTCTCCCCACGTCATGGTATTCTTTCTCCCACGCCATCGTCATCCTGCTTCTGGCTTCTCCCTCGTCTTCACGTGCCGCACTCGCCATGACGGCAAGGGGGTATTGCAGATACGAATCCCGTTGGTTTTTCAGAGTTCTCGGCCTCACAGGGGCGTCCACGGGCCCTAGGTTTATCAAAAGCAAGTTCAGGATGAAGCTGTCAGAACAATCGGTCCTGCAGGAAGGCTACTGGGTCCACGACCCGTTTCTCTGCGGACTTTTTCGCTCATTCCATCTCACGCCTGATATTGATGTTGTTTCCTTCCTCCCCCTCGTCATTATTTTTGCCTCCACTCGTTGCGCAATCCTTAATCGCCGTCGTCGTTACCCTGCTCCTCAGATGCATATCTTCCTGTTGCTCCTCTTCTTGCGCACGCATCCTCCTGATCCGTTCTGCCCTTACGTCTACTCCACCTCCGCCTCGCCCGTTCTCATCCTGCACACTTTTTTGTTATTATTATGATTGTTTTTATTACTATGTTGTTTCTTCTCCTTATCATTTTTATCATTATTATTCTGCCGCCAGCCCCCGTCCTCGTTCTCCCTCCTTTTCCGCCTCACCCTCCTCATCCCCGCCACACTTCTTCATGCGTTCTCGTTCTTGCTCCGCATCCCCATTCGCAGGACAATGGGGCGGAGGTGAAGGGAGTGAGGGAGTGGCTCGGGAGCGATGACGGGGGACGGGGACTGTCCAGATAAAAGCGTTCACGTGTGACCGAGCCACCGCGACTGGGACGTCTTGAAAAGCTGGTGTCTGATAGCTGATAGCCCGCGGCTCAGAGCGCCGATGCATGTGTTCGCCTTCCATGCCCAAGCAAAGCAAATCAGGGCAGACAGGAGAGCGCTGTTTTTTATGGGCGATCACGAGCGTTACCGTGGGGTGGGGGGGAGGAGGGGGCCGGTCACGTCACGTTTCGCGTTGGCGCCGCTTGGGCATGTTCAGTAATGACCAAAGGCAGCTCGGATAGCCGATACCTACAAGGATCTGCTACGCAGAGCGCGCATACCTATAGGGATCTGCTGCTGCCGAGCGCCTCCCGTGTCATCCTGGTGTTCTTGCTCGTCGTCGTCCTCCTCAAAAGGACATGCTTGATTCCATTTCTGTTGTCGATATCGTGCTCTGGGAGGAGTCTGGGGGCTCCTGGGCCTGAGACGGGAAATTACCTCGTCGTCGTCGTCCTCCTCCTCCTCCTCCTCCTCCTCCTCCTCTCGTTGTTCTCGTCTTACCTTTGTTCCTAGCGGAACTCGTTGTGGTGCACGCTCTGCCTTCACCCAGCGACTTCTCCCTTGTATTCTTGACTCCTTGGGGACCTGAGCCCAACACAACGGGACATTTCTCCCACGTGCTACTTAAAACCAGGGGGCTGTAAACACATGGCGTGGCCAGCTTGGGCGAAGGCTGGATGCATACATTGCCGCGTGTCTTGCCAGCAGTCGACCCCCGTGTTAGCCGAGTACGCCAGCCATCCACACGTGCATCCCGCAATCGGCCTCCGCAGGTCCCGCGTGTGATTCCAGCCGCGTGTGTCTCCATTCGCCTTGGTTGCTCATGACACCCATAGTGATATTCCTGGCCGTGGTCCGATCATTCATAAGAAAGGACCTGGTGCAATGATGGTTAAAAAGTGGCCCGGGTGAATCCCAGCCATTCCGCACGCCCCCAGTGCTTCCCAGCGATGTGGCGCAAAGCGGAGCACCTTGCAAGACGGCAAGAGGAGGACAACCGAGGCGACAAGAGGAGGAGTATGAGGAAGAGGGCAAGAGGAGGAGCATGATGAAGAAGAGGAGCAGGAGGAACATGGAGGAGTATGGCGCGAGCGAAGACGAGACGACAAGGGGCGGAGCACGAGGAAGAGGAAGATGAGGACGACGCCGTCGACAAGTCCATCTACCTCCTCGGGCCCCGGGCCCCCAGACCCCCACCCAGAGCACGAATCGAGAACAGAAGTGGAGTCACTCAGGTCGTTTCGGTTTGCTTCCGCCTGCCTCGCCCCCTCCCTCCTTCCGACTCCCTCCTCCCTTGTTCTGTCCCTGTGCGGAGCACTTTCTACAATCTAAGGGGGAGGAGGAGAGAAGGGAGAGGATGGAACAACACAGTCCCCTGTTCTCAGCGAGTCCTTACGCTGCGCCTGGCTATCCGTAGCTATCTATCGCAGGCCTTTGCGTATCCATAGCCTGTTGCGCGCCCTGCCATAGCAGATCCCAGCAGGTATTTGGTATTCGAGCTTTCTTGATTATTGAATCGTTTCGCTCATTCCGCCGGCCCGTATTGTGCCATCGCTGGCGTTTGCCTGCGCGGTCGCGAGCCAGGCGGCGTTGCTGGGCCGTGGTCGTTTTCCAGTGGCGTTGCGGCAGAACGCATTGGGATGAATCAGTTTCTTTGGAGGTTGTTGTGGCGGCTTCGGCCTCTACTGTCGTACGGGGTGTGTTTTTGTCCGCGTACTTGCTGTACGTGGCGGCGAGGTGGTTCTTGGAGAGGCCTGACGGCCGGTGCCGCCGACCCTGATCGAAAGGGCTAGGAGTGGGGGGAGGAAGCGGAGGAGGAGGAGGAGGAGGAGGAGAAGGAGGAGGAGCAGGAGGAGGAGGAGGAGGAAAAGGAGGAGGAGGAGGAACAGGAGGAGGAACAGGAGGAGGAACAGGAGGAGGAACAGGAGGAGGAGGAGGAGGAGGAGGAGGAACTGCATCCTTTGTGTGCCCGCTTCAAGAAAGTGCGCCCCGGGAGTGTGATATTGAATCGCTTCGCTCATTCCGCCGGCCTGTGGGGGTCTCTCGGGGGCCCTTTAGGGCCTCCAAGCGGCCTCTTGGGGGCCTCTGAGAGCCTCTCGGGGGCCTCTTGGGGGCGTCTTGGTGCCTCTTGGGCCGTCTCGGGGCCTTCTTGGGCCGTTTTGGGGCCTTTTTGGAGGCCTCTTGGGCCGTCTTGGGGCGGTCTCGGGGGCCTTCTGGGCCGTCTTGGGGCGTCGGAAAGGCGAAAAGGCGAGGACGCCAAAAACCTTCAAAAACCGATGATAATCATTGATTTTTGTATATTGGGGCTCCGTTTTGGAGCGTTCTGGGGTCTCTTTCGGGCCTCTTGGCGCCTCTTGGGGCCTCTTGGGGGCCTCTTGGGGCGTCCTGGAGGCCTCTTGGAGCGGAAGGCTCGGATTCTCGGTTCGTGGTCTCCATCTTGGGCTCCTCTTGGGGCCCTCTTGGGGCTTTCTTGGGCGCCTTTTAGGTTGTCTTGGGGCTGTTTTGGGCGGTCTTGGGGCTCTCTTGGGGGCCTCTTGGACCGTCTTGGGGTGGTCTTGGGGGCTTTTGGGGGGCCTCTTGGGCCGGCTTGGAGTATCGGAGACGCGAAAAGGCGAGGAAGCCAAAAACCTTCAGAAACAGAATGGAAATCAGTGAGTTTTGCCTCTTGGGGCTCCGTTTTGAAGCCTTTTGGAGTCTCTTTCGGGCCTCTTGGCGCCTCTTGGGGCCTCTTGGGGGCCTCTTGGGGCGTCCTGGAGGCTTCTTGGAGCGGAATGCTAGGATTTTCGGCTCGTGGTCTCCATCTTGGGCCCCTTTTGGGGCCCTCTTGGGGCCTTTTTCGGGCGCCTTTTAGGCTGTCTTGGGGCTGTTTTGGGCGGTCTTGGGGTTCTCTTGGGGGCCTCTTGGACCGTCTTCGGGTGGTCTTGGGGGCTTCTTGGGCCGTCTTGGAGCGTCGGAAAGGCGAAAAGGCGAGGAAGCCAAAAACCTTCAAAAACCAAGAAAAAATCATTGATTTTATTAGCCTCTTGGGGCTCTCTTGGGAAGTGTCGGGGCTCTCTTGGGACGTCTTGGGGGCCTCTTGGGCCGTCTTGACGCCGTGTTGGGCGTCTTGGGCCGATCGCTCGGTGATTCGGAGCCCTCTTGGACCGTCTTGGGGGCCTCTTTTGGCCCTCTTGGCGCGCTCCGGGGGGTGTGGAAGGCCGCACCCAGGAGGGAAGCCATCTCTGAGTAATAGTTCCTGGGCTTCGGTCGGGGTGCTTTTCGCTGGGGGACCCCCAGGGGCCGCCCCGCGCGCGCGAACTAGAATTATTGTTAACCAGTTACCAGAGATCTTAGCACGCCTCTGGCCGTTGGGCCGGCGAATTCTGACTTGGGACGTGTTCCCGGAAGAGGAAGAAGTGCATTTCGGGCGTGCCCGCTCGAGGAAAATGCGCCCTAGGGGGGTGGTATTTTGACTCGGGGCCCGCTCCCGGGACGCCTCTGCGGGAGGAGGAGGAGGAGGAGGAGGAGGAAAAGGAGGAGAGGAGCAGGAGGAGGAGGAAAAGGAGGAGGAGGAGGACCAGGAGGAGGAGGAAGTGCATCCCGTGCGTGCCCACTCGAGGAAAGTGCGCCCCGGCGGGCGTCGTATCTGCACCGGGCCCCCTCCCCCCTCCCCCCCCCCCTGCGGGGAAAGGGATCAAAGGGAAGGGGCTTCCCTTCGACTCCACTACGACGTCGTTTTTATTTTCGATTTGGATAGCGCGCTTGGGGAGGAGAGCCCTGGGAGGGGGAGAACGGAGACGACGAGTCGAACGGAAAAACCCCTCACACACGCCGACAGGGTCGGCGGATTTTTCTGTGGGGGTGGTGCGTGTGCGTCGACGGGCGTTGCGGTGGTGTCGAGGGTTTTGTTTCGGGGCATGTATCGGGGTTACGATCGTGACTGGGAGAGTCGCGGGCTTCTGCGAGGTTGGTCTGTGTGGCCTCGGGTGCCTCGGTTTCCTGTGTGGTGTGTGTTGGGGAGCCCTGGGCGCGTCTGGTGGGTTTTCGGGTTTGCCAGATTTCATTCCAGCGCCGGTGGGGGTGATCTTGCGCGATCTCCGAACCGCTTCGCGCACGGAAGGGGGGATGCGGGGGGAATGGGCTTGAGCGGCGGGGACAGGAACATTGTTCATACACCGATGCGTTTTCCGCAGGAGAAGGTCGGCGTGCCACGAACGCGAGGTACGAATGACGGATCACGTTCTTG